TTTTGATTTTAAAGTAGTGTTTGTTTGATGGATGAAAAATATAGTGAAATGGAATAGATCTTGTATATTTATATAAAATCATTTTATTTTACCTATAATATTTTTTTTATGAACTTTTATGTTGTATTTGGTTAATTAGAATGAGATGAAATAAAATGATTTTGTGTTTTTATTACGACTTTAGTTATGAGTCTGGACTCTCTAAAGTAATTTTAGATTTTTTTTTTAGCTGATTGATATTTAATTCTACAAAAATTGAAGATACAATAGTCAAAAGTTAAGAGTATGATAACCATGCAAATAATCACTCTAACATCACTTTAAGACAAAAAAAGAAAAAAAGAAAAAAGTAAATTATAAATACACCTTCGATATTTGTTTAAAATACAGTTTGCCCCTTCTGGTTTATAAAATTACAAATACCTTTATTAAACAGAATTAATTGAAAAAATAATTTTTCTAACTACTCTCATATACAATAACAAAATTACCTAAATTATTAATTGAAACAAATTTCTGACATTATTAAAAGTTACTTGATGATTTATTAATAAAATGAGATATTTTTTATGAAATTTGAAATTTGAAGGTACGTAATTTAATTTTCAGAACCACATTTGTATTTCAAAACAAACCTCAGGGTTGTGTTTGTAATTTATTTAAAAAACCTCATAAAAAAAAAATCCAAACTTTTGAACTATTAAGCTAATTACAATTAACCCAAATTTCTTATATAAGTTTGAAAAGCCCACCATCCAAATTAATTCACCAACCAAATTAAAGGACAAATTAAAAAATTTAAAAATAAACTTAAGGGCAAAATGGATAATTAAAATTCAAGCCACCAACACCAAAACTATTCTTATATAGATAGACTATGTAGGGAGGCCCGTGCAAGGTAGGGGTGAGTTACACATTTTTTTATTTATTTTTATTAAAATTCAAATTTTTGATTTTAAAGTAGTGTTTGTTTGATGGATGAAAAATATAGTGAAATGGAATAGATCTTGTATATTTATATAAAATCATTTTATTTTACCTATAATATTTTTTTTATGAACTTTTATGTTGTATTTGGTTAATTAGAATGAGATGAAATAAAATGATTTTGTGTTTTTATTACGACTTTAGTTATGAGTCTGGACTCTCTAAAGTAATTTTAGATTTTTTTTTTAGCTGATTGATATTTAATTCTACAAAAATTGAAGATACAATAGTCAAAAGTTAAGAGTATGATAACCATGCAAATAATCACTCTAACATCACTTTAAGACAAAAAAAGAAAAAAAGAAAAAAGTAAATTATAAATACACCTTCGATATTTGTTTAAAATACAGTTTGCCCCTTCTGGTTTATAAAATTACAAATACCTTTATTTAACAGAATTAATTGAAAAAATAATTTTTCTAACTACTCTCATATACAATAACAAAATTACCTAAATTATTAATTGAAACAAATTTCTGACATTATTAAAAGTTACTTGATGATTTATTAATAAAATGAGATATTTTTTATGAAATTTGAAATTTGAAGGTACGTAATTTAATTTTCAGAACCACATTTGTATTTCAAAACAAACCTCAGGGTTGTGTTTGTAATTTATTTAAAAAACCTCATAAAAAAAAAATCCAAACTTTTGAACTATTAAGCTAATTACAATTAACCCAAATTTCTTATATAAGTTTGAAAAGCCCACCATCCAAATTAATTCACCAACCAAATTAAAGGACAAATTAAAAAATTTAAAAATAAACTTAAGGGCAAAATGGATAATTAAAATTCAAGCCACCAACACCAAAACTATTCTTATATAGATAGACTATGTAGGGAGGCCCGTGCAAGGTAGGGGTGAGTTACACATTTTTTTATTTATTTTTATTAAAATTCAAATTTTTGATTTTAAAGTAGTGTTTGTTTGATGGAAGAAAAATATAGTGAAATGGAATAGATCTTGTATATTTATATAAAATCATTTTATTTTACCTATAATATTTTTTTTATGAACTTTTATGTTGTATTTGGTTAATTAGAATGAGATGAAATAGAATGATTATACACCTTTAGTACGGCTTTAGTTATAAGTCTGAATTTTTTAAAATAATTTTGGATTTTTTTAGTTGATTGTTATTTAATTTTACAAAAATTGAAGATACAGTAGTCAAAAATTAAGAGTATAACAACTATATAAATAATCACTCTAACATCACTTTTAAAAAAAAGAGAGGGCAAATTATAAATATACCTTTGAGATTTGCTTAAAATATGGATTGCCCTTTCTAGTTTGCAAAATTACAAATACCCCCTTGTTAGAATATTTTATTTTATTTAACAGAATTAATTAAAAAAAATAACTACTCTCATATTCAATTATAAAATTACCTAAATTATTAATTAAAATAAATTTATGATATCACTAAAAATTGTTGATTAACTTGGTGATTTATTAATAAAATAGGTTATTTATTATGAAATTTGAAATTTAAAGAAGCGTGATGTAATTTTCAAAACTACAAGGGACAATGCGTATTTGAAGTAAATCTCAAGGGGTATGTTTGTAATTTATCCCTCCCCCTCCCCAAAACAAAAAAACTCAAAAAAAAAATCAACTTTTGGACTATTAGACTAATTACAATTAACCCAAATTTCTTACACAATTTCTAAAAGCCTCCATCCAAATTAATTTGAATAATGTTTGAGGGCCCGAAATTAGGGGCTCGAATTTGGCTCGAAACTCAAAACGACGTCGTTTTGGGGTTCAATTTTTTTTCTTCCTTTTCTTTCTCTTCCTTTTCTTTCTTTCTTTTCTTCTTCTTCGTTGAACACAGGAGAAGAGCAGAGACAAGAGAGAGAAACAGAGTCGTCGTCGCAGCTCGTCGGCCGATCGTCGCAGCTCGTCGCTCGTCGGCATCGCAGCCCCACCTCCGCCTCTGCCTCCGCCTCCGCCCACCGCCGCCTCCGCCTCCGCCTCCACCTCCACCTCCACCTCCGCCCTATTTTGTTGGCCCCTCCAGTCCAGTTCTTCTTCTCCTCCTTCTTCTCCTTCTTCTTCCCCCTAATTTCAAGCCAAATTCGAGTCCCTATATTCGGGCTCTGTACCGGGGTTGTATTTATAATTCTCCTTTTTTTGGGTTTCGATCTCCCTGTCTCTTCCTCTGCTGCTCTGCCGCAGCTTCTGTGTTAGGAGATGTCTCTTTTTTTTTGGTTGTTGGCAGGTACCACAAAGAACTTCCAAAGGAAGCTTCCCAACAAATAATAAAATACTGTAAAACAAATGCTTTACTCATTTGAGATCTTTGAAAGCGTTGTTTTAGGATTTGCTCTTTTTTATTTTTTTGTTTTTATCGTCTTTCGTGAATTTTAATTTTTTTTTTTTTATTATAAAGTTTAGGGTTCTAGATTCAGATCAATAAGAGAAGTCAAAAAATTATAACATTTTAAAAGAATTCTAAATAAAAATTCAAAAATAAGCAAAAAATAGTAGACTTTTTTGAATTATTTTGATTTTTTAATTTTTTTTTAAAAAAAAATTCATAAAAATGTACTTTTTAGATTTACCTTGACAACACAGATTAAAAAAAATAACAATAATTGAAATAATTTTAAAAAAAAAATTACTAAAAAAAATTAAATTAAATTAAATTAAATGTAACTTTTTTAGGTATTGCCAAAAGGTATTTAGGAAGAAAACACTTAACAATTTGCTCAATAAGCATTCATTAACGATTTAGACATTGTTTGTCCCTGATGTAGCAATTCCTAAATGAGCCCTTAATAACATCAACAACAACAACAACAACAACAACAAAATTGATTTCAATAACATCTAACATGTTTTAATATAATTTCTTAAGTTTTTTAATATTTAATTTAACGGTACACATTAACAAAATTTATTTATATAGACATTTTACAATATTTTAGTTTAATTATTTTAGTTTAATATTTTTTTTCATATATTAATGGTAAATTACACCTTTTTTTTTTTTTTTTTTGAAAAATTAGTGAAACATTCATCTCTAACTTTGTGTAGCAGAAGAGGTTTAAGATATTTTTTTTATTAGTTAGGGTCCCTCAATACTAGAGAAATTTCAAATTTTCTCCGTGTCATGGTCGAAATTTCTCTAAGTCGAATTTTTTATGTGAAAATATTAAGGAGATCCCAACTACTATGAAAAAATTGTATGTCCTTTTATCTTATAAAATCTTAATATCAGGGATCTTAGAAAAAATTCTCTGTTTTTTTGAACTGATGTAAAGTAAGGGTGGGCGCGGATCGATTGCGGCCACAGAACCTCCAATCCGCCATCCGTTTGCCAAATTGGCGGATTGGAGAAAATCAATTTGCATCCGTCCACCAATCCGGAGGATACGGATTGAGTAGATTAGCGGATGGATACGAATTGGTTTGGCAGTTTAAAAATTTACAAATTTTCAACGTAATTTAATTGTGTACTTCCAAAAAAAAAGAAGCTTGGGCATAATATTCAATTGTGCACTTCCTAAAAAAACAACTTGGACAATGCAATATTCACATCTATATCCAGTGGTTCAATAAACTGTAAACAACATAGGCAGTGGGCAATGCAACTCATAGGTTCTATTCACATCTATGTGCATCCATCCAGTGGTTCAATAAACAACCTGGGCAGTGTGGGCAATGCAACTCATAAGTTCTATTCAATGCATCCAATGTTCAATAAACAACTTGGGCAGTGTGGGCAAACCAAGTCTTAAACTTAATATTCACATCTGTCATCTAAACCTGGGCAGTGGTCAATAAACAGTGCAATATTCAATGTAATGCAATATTCACAATGCATCCCATGTTCAATGGACAACCTGGGCAATGGTCAATGCAATGCAATATTCACATCTATCATCTATGTTCCAGTGGGCAATGCAAAAAACATAAAACTCATAAAACATAAAGCATAAAAAAAAAAAAAAAAAAAAAAACATTGTGCTTCCAAGTTACAATCAGTCATCCAAAGCTCAAGTTACAATCATCCAAAGCTCAAAAAAAACAAGTTACAGTCATCCAAAATATTGTGCAATTGTGCATCCAAACAATACTATTACAGTCATTCAAAAAAAAAAAACAAAAGAAGTCATTCATTTCCTTGAGCCAAACCATGAGCCATCTAAACCTGCATAACAAAAAAATGAAATTACTTAATAAGGAAAACACTAAAAAGTCATTCATTTCTTCGCTTGAAAGATCCATTACCGAAAGATTATCAAATAAACTGCTTTTTTTTATAATTTCAAACAAGATGACAGATTTAACAAAATTTAGGGCTAATATAAACAAATTTTAAATCAAATGTGAACATCACAGCATTTAGGGCTAACAGCATTAAGGGTTCAAAATCACAGAATTTAGGGGTAACAGATTTATAGCGATCTTGGTTTTCCCTATCTGTGTTAATTGTTTTCCGGACTTAGGTTCCGTGGAGTTGGTGGTTGTATGTCTTGTTGTCATCCTTTAATTCCCTATGTTTGAGTTTTAGGATGTGTTGGGCGTGTTTCGAACTGATGGGTCGAGTTTTGGTCTCAAGTGTTGTTGCCCAGATTTTAGGTGTTACGCTCGAGCGGGTCATTCTGCGCTCGAGCGGAGTTAGTTTCTTTAGGTGGTATGCTCGAGCGGAGTTTTTATACTTCCAGCATTTCGTGCCTTTGCAAAAGTACTGCAAGCTTGTTATTCACGCTCGAGCGGATTTCCCTACGCTCAAGCGGGTCGCGCTCGAGCGTGTATCTTGGCGCTCGAGCGGAGTGTTCATTTTCTGTGAAAGTTCTGGGAAGGGGAACTATACGCTCGAGCGGACCAGTTTTCGCGCTCGAGCGGGTGTGTTTTGCTTTTGTGTCTTGGCGCTCAAGCGGGCCTTCTTGCGCTCGAACTGGACTAGTTTTCCATGCTTGACGCTCGAGCGTCCTATTCTACGCTCGAGCGAGATAGTCGTATATCAGTTGGTAGCTGGGCATTTTTGATTCACTTTTTAACTTTCTTTCTCTCTCTTACTTTCCCAAAAACCGATTTTGAGAGCTCCTCTCTCTAGAATCTCCCTTCTCTCTAGGGTTTGATCTAGCTGGAGTGTTTCACTCCCTTGTTGTCTTTGTAAAAAGTGTGTTGATCGTTGAGGGTTGAGGGCTATATTCTAATCCGAAAAGTTTAGAATTTGGAGCACTTTGAGTTTGGTCATCATCTCCGTTTGAGCTCTAACTTCGAGGTAGGGATATCCTACTCCATCTTATGAGCTTTGTCTTTGAATTATGGTATGTTGATATGTTGGGGGTTGTTGGGTAATTTTGAGAAAGTTTGGGGTCATGTGTACTTTTTAAAGGATGGGGTTTCAAACATATAAACCCTTATGTATGTAATACATTGGAAAATGGACTTTGTGTTGGATTATTGATGAAAATGGAACCTTAGGGTTGGTATTGAGATTATGGGAAAAAGCCCTAATTGTTATGATAAATTAATTTGTATAATTAATTTTGGGAAATGAGAAATTGAATAGGAAATATTCAAATTGGAAAGGTATAAGATTAAAGGGTGTAGTTGGATTAATTTATCGCCCACCTAGTCAAAATGTAGATATTTTATCCATTTGGTGCAATTATTTTCTGTTTAGAAATAAGTGTTTTGGACTATCGGTGGAGGATAGTCTTGATTGTTGTAGACAATGCATGATGATTAGGCAAACTAAAACTAATCAATTGAGTATGCTATTGGTTATGGCGTTTGGTATAATACATCAAAATTTTGTATTGATTGCTTGAACTTGTATATGATAATTGCTTATATACATTGCATTGTGTGGAAGGAGATAGAGGATGTACTCCACGATTTATTGGAAGATGGGGGATGGACCTCTAAACTGAAAATTGTTTGGTATTGATACAGCACTACAATGTGTATCATTTGTGTATAATTGTGTATTACATGATTGAACTTGTATATGATAATTGCTTATATACATTGCATTGTGTGAGAGGAGATGGGGATGTACTCCACGGTTTATTGGAAGATGTGGGATGAACCTCTAAACCGGAAATTGTTTGGTATTGATACAGCACTACAATGTGTATCATTTGGGAAGTATAGAAGTGTTTCTATGTTTATTTGATACAACACTAAAATGTGTATCATTTGAGATGTATGGAAGTGATTTTATGTGTTATTGATACAACACCAAAATGTGTATCCATCATGAATTTCGAAAGTATTTTAATGATGAGTTATAATCTCATCAAATTATTTAGTTAGGTTCTGAGCCTTGTTTTTAAACTCAAAGTTGAATAAGAAATGGAAAAGGAAGTGTAACATGGACATGGTTGTCATGAGACTGTAATATGATATAAGTTGGAATATAAGTGTAGACCATCTATCGAATGCTATTATTTTAGTCATTGTTTATAGTTGGTTTAGTATATTTCTACTGGGCTGTGGCTCACCCTATATGAGACATCATTTTCAGGTACAGGTGTTATGCCATCTCCAAGTACGTAGCTTGGAAAGCTTGGGGCCGTTAGACTATTTTTTGTTGTTTTGTTGTATTACATATATGTCAAGCCAAGGGCTTTCTTTGTACAGAGTTAGTACTCTCTTATTGTAACCAAGTGCTGACTTGGAAAGTTGTAAGCCTATAGGGCATCTACTTTTGTTGTCAACATGTAATACACTTTGTAATGGTTACTCTGATGGAATATATTTATGTTTTATTCTCTTATGTCTAAGCATGTTTTTGTTGGATGATTTCTGGGTTTATTTTGAGGGCGTTATAAGATTTAACATAATTTACGGCTAAGTAACAGAATGTAAATATCCCATTTTCAATGGTTCAAACTCAAAATCACAGTCACAGATATAAAAAACAATAAATCACAGACACAGATATAAAATCACAGACTAAGGCCTTGTTTGTTATAACCTAAAAAAGTCAAAAAGTTACTATCCTATTTAAGTCAAATTATCTTATTTAAGTCACATCACCTCTCTACCACATCACTTCAAACCCGACCCATATTTCATAAAAAGTCAAAAATTGCACTTATTTATATCATCCCAAACCACCCCTAAAAGAGAGCTCAAATTCTTAGACTAGTTCAAAAACTCAAATTCATAGAATTTAGGGCTATCAGAATTTAGGAGTAACAAATTTAACATAATTTAGGGCTAACAGAACGTAAACATCCCATTTTCGATGGTTCAAACTCAAAATCACAATCATAGACTCGCCGATATTAAAAAAAACAATAAATCACGAACACATATATAAAATCACAGACTAAAAGAGATCTCAAATTCTCAGTCTTGTTCAAACTCAAATTCACAGAATTTAGGACTAACAGAATTAAGGTTCAAAATCACAGAATTTAGGACTAAACAGAATGTAAACAATAAACATCCCATTTGCAACAAATAGGTACTTTCAAATCCATTGCAGAGAAGAAGCAAAAGAAAACAAACCTCTCTGGTTTTTGAACTACTGCAAGCTTCTTCTCTCTGGTTTTCGAACTGTCTGTCTGTAAGCTTCTTCTCCTTCTGTGTGTAGAACCTTCACACTCTGACTCTCACCACCTCTTTACTTTTAAAAACTGCGACAAAACAAAACAAAAAAACAACAAAAAAAAAACACACACACACAAATTAGAGATTGAGAAGAAGAAGAGGAAAAAGAAGACAAAAAACAAAAAAAAATTACAGAACAGATCTCATTAGTGGTAAGTCACCACCACCACGATCAGCGGCGATCCTCTTTCAGTCGAAGAAAGGGATCTGGGATTCTCAGAAAATGGAGTTAAAAAAAAGAAAAGAACAGATCGCCGATCGTCTTTCAGTCGTTGTTAGTCGGTCGGACGATGGAGAAAATCGCCGTCGTTGTCGGTAGATGGGTAGGGTTTTGGAGGAAAAGAGAGAGAGAGAAGACAGTTGTCTGTCGAAGAAGCTAATAGGTGGGTTAGGTTAGGTTTACTGAATGAGATGAGATGAGATCAAAAAAATAGGGAGTACAAAACAAATTTATAAAAAATAAATAAATAAATAAATAAATTGGAGACAAAGCGGACGGGTCGGGTTTCATGGGGGAAACGACGGATCAACAGCCACCCGACCCGAACCCGCGAAAATCCAGAATATGGGCCCACACCCGTCCGCCAGCTGCCATGCATCCATCCATTTGGTGTCGGGTCGGGCGGGTTTGGCGGGTCGGTAGATCCACTAATCAGCCCTAATGTAAAGTACACCTTATTTCTCTAAATTTTGGGGTGATTTGAGAAGTTGATTAAAAACTGACTTTTTAGCTTTTTTGACCTTTTTTGTCCTATTGTGTGTAAAAAATGATATGATCCAAAATAGATTAAAAGTTAAAAATCAACTTTTAGTTAGCTTTCCAAATTGCCCTTTTAGCATTTTCTCACTTTGCCGTTTAACATTTGATATTTTCTTTTTTAGTTTACTCTCAAAATAAATTTCTATCCAATTTTAAACCAAAAAAATGCCATGTTAATAGCAACGTGGTGCCACGTGAACACCCATATGGCATTAAAATAAAAAAATAAAAAAAAAATACACTACACTTAAAATTTTACTTTGGCCATTAATTTTTATTTCTTCTGCCTTCACCCTTAAAGTTTGTAATTTTTCTCAATTTATTCTCAAGACAAGATATCGTCCAATTTGAATAGAAAAATGCCATTTTGGAAGTCATGTTGCTTAAAGATAAATTATATTTGGTGAAACTTCATAATTTGCTTTCTGATTATTTTTTTTTGAATAATTAGAAACAAATTTGACAAAAAAAATCAAAAAAATATTTTTTTGAATTTTGAAAAAATATTTTCGTTCCAAAAAAGAGAAACTTATGAAAATAGTTAGTGTTTTTTTCACCAAACTAATTTTTTTTTTCCTGCACAAAATATATAATTAAAGGGAAACACTATGCATTGTTATGTTTTGTTATGGTAAATATTATGCATTTTTGTGATAAATGTTACGTATTTTTTTCTGATAAGAATTACGACAATTTGTGATTCAGAAATAAAGTTACACATTTTGTGGTAATATTACACATTATTTTATCCAAATATTTTCTAATCACAAAATGTGTAATAATACCATAAAATACATAATATTATCACAAAAATGCGCAACTTCTTTCTCAACCATAAATTATCATAACTTTTACCACAAAAATATATAATATTTACCATAAAAAAACATAACACACTATAAAATTATGTAACAAGGTACATATAGGATCTCCCATTATAAAAAGGTCTAGGCTTGTCTGCAGTCAAATTTCAGACTGGAGCGTGCTATTGGGCTCCATGGGCTCACCACGAAGTCCACAACAATGATTCGAACTTATAGCGATCCCGGTTTCCCTTTCTTAGATTGTTGTATTCTGGACTCGGTTCCGTGGAGTTAGTGGTTGTGTATGTCTTGTGGTTATCCTTTAATTCTATATATATAAGTTTTAGGAAATGTTGGGCATGGTTGTTACAGGTTGGTTGAGCTTTGGTTTCCTTTCTTGTTGCCCAGTTTTTAGGTGGTCCGCTCGAGCGGGTCTTATTGAGCTCGAGCGGGGTTTACATACTCCCAGTATTTCGTGCCTCTGCAGAACTTCTGCAGGTGTGTTTTTCACGCTCGAGCGGATCTTCTTACGCTCGAGCGGATCACGCTCGAGCGAGATTATTGGCGCTCGAGCAGATAGTCTGTTTTTGTAGAAGTTCTGAAAGGGCGTAATCTACGCTCGAGCGAACTATTTTTCGCGCTCGAGCGGATGTGTTTTATTTTTGTGTCTGGGCACTCGAGCGGGTCCAGTTTTTGTGCTTGACGCTCGAGCGTCCTGTTCTCCGCTTGAGCGGGAATGTCATATATCAGTTGTCAGCTAGGCTATTTTGAATCACTTTTTACATCCTCACTCTCTCTCTTACTTTTTCGAAAAGCCATTTTTGAGAGCTTCTCTCACTACCTTCTTCATTCTCTCTTAGGATTGATCTAGTATGAGTGATTTTCTACCCTTGGGCCTTTGTAAAAGGTGTGTTGATCATTGAGGGCTACATTTTGATCTGAGAATCTTGGAATTTGGAGCATTTTCGAGTTCTTCATCATTTCTTTTGGGTTTCATCTCTTGAGGTAGGGATTCCTACTCATCTTTATGGGTTTTAACCTAAATGTTGGGCTTTTGTATAAATGGTTTGGTTTTGGGATGTTAGGGTTTGAGATGTCTAATGTTGAAAAAGGGGTTTTGTTTCTTTGGCTCATATGTATGTGTTTTGGGTCTAAAAAGGGGATTAGTGTAGTTGTTGTTAATATTTGGACCTATGGGTCAATATTGAGAAGATGGGGAAAAATGCCACATTTGGGTATATTTGGGTCATTAGTGTAATTAATGGCATTTGTTATGAAATTAAGTTGGGGCATTTATTATCTGTTTAGAAATAACTGTTTTGGGCTATCGGTGGAGGATAATCTTGATTGTTGTAGACACTGCATGATGATTAGGTAAATTGAAACTAATCAAGTTGTGTATTTGAATACATGGGTGTCGAATCCCGCGGACGTAATTTTCGTAAAATGGCCATCTGAATATCTATACATGGGTGCTGAATCCCGTGGACGCAATTTTCGTAAAATGGCAATCCGAATATATCTATACATGGGTGTCGAGTCCCGCGGATGAAATATCCGTAAAATGGCCATAAGAGAATGAAAATACATGGGTGTCGAATCCCGCGGACGCAATTTCCGTAAAATGGCAATCCGAATATATCTATACATGGGTGCCGAATCCCGCGGACACAATAT